CCCCAAAACCCCAAAACCCCAAAACCCCAAAACCCCAGAGGAATCCAAAAGTACTGAATATTATCAATAATGGAATTTATGGTGAATCTATTGACTCCAAACATTCATCAAAGTTGACATCTAATTTCTCACCCTCGTCAGAGGATCTATAAGGAAAATTAAAACGACTCAAAAATATAAGCCTACTCTTCTTTTACGTCCTGAAGTTCTGCCATTTGTTTACGATATTCGCTAACTTTTAGCACAATTTCTCCCAGTGTTAGCTTAGTTTTTCTCTTCTTGCTACCTATAAGAACCATTATTAATCTTTATTTAAAGAAATTATGCTTCTTAAGCCATATGAAGAACATTTAAATTATCATGAGCACTCCAAGCTGGACATTCGAATTTAGATAAAATCAGACATTTACCTTCCTGCAAGGTGCTTTCAAGAATAGACATTTTCTTCTGATCCTGCCTCTTGATTTGGTTGATTCTTGACTTCCTCTTATCAGAGAGGGGAAATAAAGCCTTTTGAGGCTTTTGAGCACCTCCTGCAACATCCTGGAAGGAAAGACCCATCTGGTTAATATTTTTCCTGTGATCCTTGTCTAAGCTCTTTAAGAACTCCTTGTTACGATGGTTCTTTTCTTTCTTCTCTTCTTCATCTGGCTCTATGATCTTGGGGGCTCTTCTTTCCATCACAGCACGCTGTACTGGAGTCATGTCCGAAGAGCCACTACTTGAGGTTATTGTTGAGCTTTTAGACTCTTCGCTACCTTCTTGCTCTACAGAAGACTCATCATTCCTAAAGGGTTTCTTTACGTTGTTCATTGAAGGGAAAGAATTCTCTATAATTTTTGTGAGATTTTCTTTAGTCATAGGTGTCATATCATTTGATAACTCATTGATTGGGGCCACCTTGATGTTTTTCTTGGGTGAATAATTAGATATCTCGTTCACATCAGAATCATATTCTCTGACTTCAAGATCTTCCTCTTGGATAGATTCTCCTTTGGGAAGATTAAATCTTGGGTCAATTTCGTATAATATTTCCCCACTAGTCTGTCCTTCTTTTGTTCGCATTAGGACTTTGGCATTCCTGGACATTTTCAACTTAGGTGCTTCATTATGAGGCATCCCGATGTCAGTCTCGTACTCGTTAAAATTAGCAACAAGATTGTTCGTAGTGGTGTTTCCTTCTTCACCATCTAGTGATATCTCTTTAGCTGTGTAACTTCTGTGACTCCTTCTCGATCCGCTGTTTTCGATATCATCTGTTGAGGTACCTTTCTTTTGCATAGTTTTAGAATCAGGATTTTTGAATTTATCTCTCAAATAATCCTCTAACTGTTGAACTTTTTCTTCTTCAAGAGAGCTCTTAAATTTATTCTCCTTCTTCTTGTCGTTAAAGAGGAAATCATAGATTTTTAAGTGATTTCTGTTGATGTTATGAATCTTCTCTCGATTTTCAAAGTATGTAAGGAGCTCATCTCTACCATGAGGCATATCATTTTCAACCTTAAGATCTCTATCCTTCGAAGATTTAACGACTTTTTGCTTACTGATAGATTCAGAATTACTATAGCTACCTTTAGACTCAAAGGATTCATTGACCTCAAGCTTCTTATCATCAAGTGCTCTATTGAGATGTTCTGGATCGAATCTTCTTTCTCTAGCGATCTTCCCATCAACTTTGAATTCATTTTTCTTAATGGTCATATCAATCTTAGGCTTCATGTCTTCGATGATATAGAGTAATTTCATGAACTCGTCATGGCCTTCATAGTTGACATGGTTAATGTACATTGCTTTCATATCTTTCATGAAGTATTGAACATCTTCGATTTTGGCAATCATACTTTCGTTCTTTTCTTTCTTAGCTCTTTGAATGTTCTCTCTGACCCATCTATCTTTGCGGCAGCAGAGGAAAACCCAGATGTAGACTCTAGGGAATTTCTCACGGATCATGTCCCTGGCGATGAAGTAGAACTTAATAACCCAAATTGTTGTGAATAACAAGTTGCTTCCCAGGATCAGCATGAATAGGAATATACTAGTGGTCGCGTTTAAACTGAAGTCTCTATTCTTATCAAAACTTAAGCTGTCTGGATCCTTTGCTGATAAAAAGAAAATTCCACAATAGATTGTAACGGTCGATGTCATTAAGGATAGATTTTCAATTTCGTTTAGAGCTCTATCTGCAAAAGGTCTCCTAATGTTGTTCACTTGGATGAAGACAACCAGGACTATGAGGATTACCAACGCTTGTACAATCAAACCTATCTGATTTAGGAATACAGCAATGAATATCATTAAAGCTTTTCGGTACATAATCGCTATTTCCCAATAATAATACTTTTTCTTGAACCCGTTGAATAAGAATCCAAACTTTTCTTTAACATTGAGGGTATCCAACCTGTCTCTATCTCTTCTCATGAGGTAAAGGACTCCAGCAGGGATTCCAATTCCATAAATTAGGATTCCAGGTAGGGCAATGTAAACAGAGAAAACCCAATGGTAGCCTTCCCAGCATGGGGATTGTAGGTCAACTTTCAAGCGTCTTTCTCCATCATATATTTGACAATTGAACTGATCCACCATTTTCTGCGTGATATTTGGAAACACAAGGAATAGAATGAAGATATATGTGGTGATGAACCTAGCATTTAGCTTCTTCCTTTGATTTTTCTTTCTGAGGATTATAAACCATGGAATGAACACCATGAAAGCAATTGTCCAAGGCAAGAACCAATAGACTAACACATTGAGCTGCTCAACTCTCATATCATTATCTGGGGCTGAATTTGCGTCCATATCTACTGAGCTCTTTTCTCTTAAATCAAGGAAGCAATCGAAGGAAATCAGGTTTTCACTTGCTGTTGCAACAGGAGAAATTGCTCCAAAAAAGCCTACTATCTCGTCAGGCCATTCGAAGTTAAACGAAGCTGTGATCATTAGCAATTGCAAGTGATTCATCATGATCTTGATGTAAACAGAAGTAGGTGAGGGATTCATTGCAGATGAAAGAATATTTTTAACCATCATAATCACTAAGACTACTGATAAAATGAAAATTCCAAGAATTCTTAGCAAGTTGATTGAAGGATCAGGACACTTATTTCATTCATCTTCCCCTGAGCGACTAAATCCAGGAAGTCATCCTTGACATAAAGTTCCATGATATCCTTCAGCTCAATCTCCTTTGGGGTTGTAATCAGGAGCATTCATTCCCAGACATGCTGCTGAGTAAGGGCAAACTTGAAATTCTTCAGTAATGTTAGATTTCCTCCAATACCCTGGCTGAGGCCCAATATTGGAACCTCCTAGGCAGATAGCTCTCTCTGAGTTGCATGTTTTACATTCTGTTGGGACTGTAGGGACTTCGAGGAGATAAGTTCCCTTAGGGCATTCATAGCAGGCTCCACTTTCTCTCAGTCCTTCCCCCTCTATGCATGGCCTTAGGCCAATTCCCATGTCAAGGTAGTATATTGTGGTTCTAGTAAGTCCAAGTGAAGTAAGAAATTCTTGGACAGATTTAATATTGACATCAATTCCATAATTGATCATTCTCAGAGATTGATTAGAGTCAGGGTCAGCAATCAAAAATAACCCAGTGATATTATAGACTCCATTGATTGAATAAAACTTTGTCTGCCCGAATACAACACTAGTGAATTGCTTAGACGCTGAGTCAGCTATACAAATTATATAAACTACTTACTATCATCAACCAAAAATTCTGTCATTACTGAACTATCAGATGTGACAATTTGTCCGTATTCATCGACCAGTCCGAGATAAGTAGTTGGAATTGACCCTCCACTCATTACTCCTGCGAAATCTAGTCTGTCCAGGGATTCGCTTTCCGAACTATCTGTCTTTGCTGCTAGATCATTGGTTCCTTCTTCATTGATGTAGTAAGTATAATCTGCTTCTGCAAGGATTTTGATTTCTCTTGCAAATCATGCAAAGTCTTTACCATAAATTGTGGCATCATTATCGCTCACCTGTGAGGATGAGTCTTGGTTAGGTTTACTATAGTTCCATTTAATACCTCCTCCAACTTTTGCATTATTTTTCGTGATATTTGAATTGATCAGGTTGAGATTGCAAACATCGTCAAGGTTTTCATAGCAGAGAAAATAAATACCTCCACCCTCTCCATTCATAGCTTTATTGTTCATTAGTTGAGTGTTGGTTAAGTTCAGTTCTTTAATAGTATCAACAAAGATTCCACCTCCATTTCCTACAGATTCTCAGTCTGTGATTGTAGAGTTAGTTATTATGTAAGAAACATCTGAGTTCTGGTTCTTAAAGTATGGATTAGAACTAATCTTAAAAGCACCACCCTTTCCTTTTAGACTAGTGAAGGTTGAGTTTATAATTTGACCATTAGCTACTTCATCGAACTCCACACCCCCAGCAAACTCATTAAGCTGATCAGCAGTAGATGATGAATTTCCAGTAAACGTACAAGAAGTGATCACTGCATTCGTACGCTTTAGATAAATTGCATTGTCATTTACTTCAAACACAGAGTTAGTAATTGAGATAGCATTGAATGCATTTGTTACATAAATTCCTTCCCCAACCTTGGAATTTGCTGAATTCTTTTGAAATATTCAGTTATTTGAGATCGACAGAGTATTATAAGTTGTAGCATGTATAGCTGCTCCTTGATCTGCAGTATTTAGTGTAAAATTAGAGCTTTGGATAGCCACATCTGCACTTCCGAGGATATAAATTGCTCCTCCATAAGTAGCTTCTCCTTTATTGAAGCTAGACTGTGTGATAGTTACTGCCGATCCGGTACTGAGATACATAAATCCACCAGTTGTAAATCCTGTAAGAGTCGTAATTTTATAAGAGTCATCAAAAGTGCAACGAGTGATTGTTAGTGTAGTGAAAATGCTATATAAATGATGGCTCTCTTTTGTTGCTTGATTTCCTCTAAATTGACAATCTTGGAAAGTAATACTATCTGAAAATATCAACGTGATGCTATTCCCACCATTCTTACTCAAATTATGAGAAAAGGTTGAATTCTGGACCATAATTGAAGTAGCATCACTGACATACATTGCTGAAGAATCTTGGCTTGACTCATTTTCAGTAATTGTCACATTGGCCATTGTTACAGAGGAACTTTGTAAAACATCAATCATTGCTCTAGTTCCTACTTTATTTTTGCTGAGGGTACTGGAAGAGATAGTCAAACTCGAAGTAGCCGCTAAGCAAATGCATCCACATCTTTTTGCAACTGTATTATTAGACATTGTAACAGTATCCATCTGAATATTAGTATTGGTAGTTGCAAATGTCAGATACTGGTCTGCAGTATTTGATGAAATTGTTGCTGAGTTTAAGTTTATAGTTCTAAAAATTACAAAATATCTTACCATCCAAGACAGTAGAAGAAGACATACTCTCCTGTTGCTACATTCAAGAGGATTTGAGTTCCTCCATTGACTGTGAGAGAGCAACCATTTAAACACTCTATTACTGTGGATGCCACAGCAGTATTTGAACTGATGTAGTCTCCAGTTAAAGTAATTGATGAAGACCCTCCGACATGAAATAAAGATTTAGAATACATCTTATTACTCGTGATAGTATCAGAAGTTGATGATGCTGTACAAGAGCTTGAACAATAAATAAATCCTCCTGTATAAGTGAATGAATTTTTATATATGATAGTACTCGAAGTCACAGAGAGGCCATCTGCTATCATGTAAGCACCTCCTTGATAGGCAATAATTCCGTCATACGTAGAATTTGTATTTGTTAAAGCTCCAGCTTGCAAATTAAATACACCTCCTTCTCTCATTCCGATTCAGTTTGAAACTTTCAACTTTGTGAAGGTATTTGTCCCTATTCCTGATAGAACAAAGAGAGTTTGCTTGGTAAATACAGATGAGTCGCCTAAAATTTACATAAAAAGTATTCTACCTGTGCTTAACGATGTTTGAAGAGCGCTGCTTGTGACCCCAGTAAAAGATCATTCAACTGTGACATCATCATACTCTATAAAGATCATTAGGAAAAATACCCAGAATATATTCATGACTTTTATGAAGAACTGAAGCAGTTATTCCTGTCACTTTCGTCGGCTCAATATTTGTATATGTTGTAGAGGAGACTCTGAGCTTGTAAATATCCCCTATCAGGTGATTTGAGTAGATATTTCCATTAAAAGTGCATCCGGTTATGTGTCTATTTGTAGATTTAGAAGATTTCTTACAAAAAGTTCTAGAATTTACACTACTTACATATTTAGCCAAAGATTCTTGCCAATAATGAAGCTTCCTCCATTATCAGTGCCCTGATTGCTAGTAAATGTGGTACTCTGGATTAACAAATTTATCATCCCTGGAGATGTAGCAGAAATAGTAGCCTGCTCAGTGACACTTATAGGTGAAACAGATACTCTGTTTGAAGTGAACTGCGATGAGATGATCTGATAACTGTAGCCCTCAAGAATCGTGAAATACAGTAAGTTAGCAGCCAGATCAGCAGATGCCCCTGTTGTATCATAACCATTATTAGTAAATATGCATGATGTGAGAGTCACTGTCCTAACATTTGCTAGGAACAAAGCTTGGCTACTCTTCAGATAATTCTGAGTAAAATTTGCAGTCATAGTTATAGAAGTATACACTCCATCAAGAGCAAAGTTAAGGACTGTATCTTGTAAGTTAAACAGATATCCGTTTGTAGTTGTCCCATCGACATCTCCTGCATTATTCTCAAACTTGGTAGTCCCTGTCAGAGTAAAAGTGCTACAGATTTACAGTAGAATCTTACCTAAAGAAGTAGTTTGCAAAGTTGATGAGTGGCGTTTGCATTCCTTTCTTAAGAAAAGAGAAGTTCACAGTATTTGGAGCTACTGTTAAAATTGGATCATTAGAAATCCCTTTGTTGTTGGTAAATTGACAATTCAAGCAGTTAAAACTCTTGTACATGTTTCTAACCCGAATTGAATGAGAGGTGGTCTTTGAAGTTTGGATATCAATAACCCAATTATTGTTAAACACTAGATTCCCTAATGAAAGAGTATTTGTCATGTCAATGTTAAGTATAGTCTCCATTTTAAAAGCATAAAATGAAAGATACACATCATCAACTATAGTGTTTTTGAACAGATTTGACACAGTGCTTGAGCTTTGTACATTATTGACAATTGTTGAATACAATGCCTGAAAATCAGGTATATTATTCCCATTGTTTGTGAAGGTAGTGCTTTGGACACTGACGAATGGGAATCCTTCAATAGACAAAATTGCTCCCTCGTTTCCTCCATAATTTGATGTAAATGAGTTAGAAGTAATCATCACTTGCTCCATATTATATGTAATCGTTCCAAAAGAGCCTCCGTAAGAGTAGACATAATTATTTGCAGAGTAACTGGAGTAATCTACTGTTCTGAAGAATTTTACCTTATCTGCGAGTGCTGAGTCCTTCCCTGTCAGAGCTTGGTGGTCTAAGTATTCATCTTGTGTGTAGAAGTCATCAGATCCTGGAGAAGTAGTGGAGTAGCAGTAAGCAAGAAAGCTTCCTCTCGTAGTTTCTTTGCACCCAATATTTTGTGTGAAAGTATTGCTAGCCATATAAATTCCTCCTCAGAAATGAGTGGCCTGAGTAAGGTCAGGATTATTGACATTATCTGTGATCTTTCTAATATAAAGAGCATCACTATAAAGAAACCCTGAGTTAGAAGTGAAGGTATTTCCAACTATAATGAGTGGATAGGTCTTCTGTTTCGTCAATTCTATAAGTATAACTCCTTTCAGTCCAACATTTTGGGTAAACCTGTTCTCACCAAGAACGAGAAGTCTGGAATGCTGTATGATTGACACAACAGACTTGATTTGGTAGTGAGTGTCACTCACTCCGAGATATTCAATAGCAGAAGCAGTTGCTGTAGGAGTCGAAAGGGATTTAACATAGTCTCAGCCATTTATCATGACATAATTTTTAGTGAAGTCATTATCTTTCAGGACAATGTCTCCTGGAAAGTTGACAAGGTTCAGTGCCATGGCTTGATACCTCTGATAAGTTTGAGGAACAACATTCACTTCAGAAGCCAGCTCCTTTTGATCGCTTAGATATTCAAAGGTAGACCCCGTGATCGTCAGTGAGGAACAGTCGGATGCTGGGCATGTCATAGTAAAGGGAGTAGACGACATTCCTGTTGAATGATAGATGCTTGCCTTCTCATTTACCAATTTCAGAGTAAGGTAATTAAAGTAATCCTGTTTCTTTGTCAATATATCTGGGATAGTCGAAGGCACAGTAGTAGGGTAGTGGTTCAAGTTCTTCAAAACCGACCCACAATTTGAAATCCGTGAGAAAATTGTAGAGGAAATTGTTATCCTTGATGCAAATTGATTTGGATTTATGATAGCATTTATATCGTAGTAGAAATTTCGGAATTCTCAATTAGAAATCGTCAATACGCTAGGATCTGTGTACTTTTGGATTGAAGAAACCTTCAGTTTGATGAAAGATCTAAATATCAAATTCTTAAGACCTACCTGTAAGAAGTAAGAGTTCACTCTTCGCTTGATATCAATCTAGCCTTACATAAATTAGGGTTTGTGATCGAGTCATTAGTAATCTCTCCATCAGAATTAATTTTGCATCAACTCTCTCGACTCTTCAAACATGCTAAGGAAGTTGCATCATACGGTGAAAGTAAAGAATCTAGTGAATCAAAGACAACATCTGTGATGACCAGACTTTTTCCTGCTTGAATAAAGAAGTTCGATCCTCTCTTATTTTTGATAGTTACTTTAGTCCCTGGAGATCCTCAGATGGAAGAAATATCCATCCCTCCAGAGTCAACATATGATCAATATAAAGGTGTTATGGTTAAATCATAATCCACTGAGTAAGGATTGTTATATTTCTTGTAGAAATACAACCAAGAAGGTGACTGAACAAGGTAATGAGTCCCTTTCCATAAATGAATTTTAATTTGGGTGTAAGCGTTAGGAGCTGACTGCTCATAAGCATAATTTAGAGCATCTTCAAGGTCATAAAATGGCTTTTCAATTGTTCCATCAGGTGTTGTACCACTTGCTATATAGGTAGCATCGTTTGAGACAAATACATCTACTGATAACGTATTAGTAGTGATATCGAGACATTCACCAGATAATAATTCTGAAACTGTAACTGACAAATACTTTCCTTCTGGTCATGACAATCAATTTTTACTAGTATCAGCCCCATTTCAAATAGGGCACTCAGAAGGGCATGAGATACATTCCTTAACTGAGAGCCCTCCTGTTGAATTAAGTGATATACTTGGAAAAGTCCCTTGGGGTCATGCTTTGTAGCATGTATTGTCTGAACTATTATGAAAATATCCATCTTTTCAAATAGTGCAATCTCCTGTAGAATTGCAAGCTAAACATTCTCCTCTATCCCATTCTGTAGGGGTGGTCATATTTCAGGAAGTGCATGTTTTTGTCGTCGATTCAAATATGTATTTTTCAACTCAACTCTCACATTCTTGAGAGTATTCATAGACAGGCTCAACTGGTGTAGGTTCGGTGGGAGTAGTAGGACTGCCAGTATCTCCAGTGCCAGCATCTCCAGTGCCAGCATCTCCAGTGCCAGCATCTCCAGTACCAGCATCTCCAGTGCCAGCATCAGCATCTGGGTCAGCATCTGGATCAGGGTCTGGATCAGGATCAGGATCAGGGTCTGGATCAGGTGTTACATCAGTTCTGGTAGTCTTACAACTCTTACAATTAGGCTCAGTACATTGTGTTCATTTATGATCCCAAGAATTAAGCCCATATCCTTCCTTACAGACTAATCAGATTGTTGGATCACTTGGATCTCATTGCAATCATCCAGTATCATCACTATTTCAAAGATTACAAGGAGTTTCTGTTGAAATGGTGTCATATCATTTATCTCACTGAGTTGAGCTCTCATTGGTACAGTCCTCTCATCTCTCATCTGATCATTTGACTAACTCTTGAAAAGTTGAGCTCATATGTCCAGCTACAATTTGTAACTTATATCCTTTTCCTAAATTTCTGTTAATGAAATTCAGTGTTAGACTTACCGATCAAAGGTGAATCGATTCATCCTGATATAATATTTCATTGAGTACAGTGCAATCCACAGTCCTCACAACTTTGAGTGATAGGATTGGTAACATATCTAGCATTAATAGTAGAGCAGTCTTCTATACAATGATTGTAGGGCTCGGTTGCAAGGATCATGCCATATTTACACTGCTGTCACTCAAGTTCTTTACTTGAATTCTCAGCGCACTTGTATCATCCAAACAGCTTATTCTCGCATTTAATACAAAGGCCATTGGTAGAATTCTGATATTCATTGAATTTACATGTCTGGGCAGATATTCCTCAAATTCAGAAGGCAAGCATGGTTATTATACACTAAAATATCACTAGGGTGGCTTACAATAAATCTTTTATCCCTCCATCTTCACTTCATTTAAATATTATTACAATCTCAGGACAAGATCTTGGGGTTTTGGGGTTTTGGGGTTTTGGGG